GAATGATTGTGTTTCAACATATTCAGCATTGAAACATTTTTATGTAAGGTGTTTCAATTGTCTTTAATTCTTTGTGGATTTGTTAATATTTCAATAATTGAACTTTAATGTTTCATGTTTCAAAACAAATTATTTCAGTCCATGATTCAACCGCACGTGTTTCATCATTTAAATTTATCTGAAACATGAGTTAAACTAGTGGTGAAACATTTTTCTTACACGTACTGAAATAACGTCCGGAATTTTACAACAAAAATCGGACATCCAATTTGTAGGTGTTTCGATTGATTATTTTATTTGATTTTATATTTTAAGGACCCATTACTAATTTTCTCGTGGGCCACCCAAACGGCCAAACCTCCTCATGACTAGACTCGGATAGGGGCTACATACATGAGAAATTAGGAGGACGAGAAGAGAGAGGTCGCTGCTACCAGATGGGAAGGCGAGCTCATCGTGGGCTACCATGGGGTTTGATTACTCACTACTTGATCAAGTATAAGATTCCGACAGGTAGTGAATTATCAGTGGTGATGTACATAATAAAGCTAGAGTTGCTTTATTAATTAATCATGCCATTACAAAACTCGAAAAGGATTCATGCTTTGTCGCGGTGCCGGTTCAAAGTTCGTTTTACGTACCTTTCGCATTCTCGTCGTGATAGTTAGCACGACGACGTTGATATGTACACGTGATTAAGAAAAACCTAGGAGTAGTACTTGACTAGAAAATTAAGCTGTCTTGAAGTCCACTTAGATTGTAGGAAAATGCAATCCAAAATTTCTAAAAATATTGAATCTTCTAGTTTCAGACTTGAGTTCCAGAAGCTTTTAGTAGTATCAATCTATGGTTGGCCATGATGTACATTTGGTGATGAAGTCAAGATAGGAGATGGATATCTCTATCAGTTCTTCCTTGCTTCACTGGCCGGCTAGCTTATGGGATAAATTCCACAGATCCTAAATCATTAGTTTTGATGCTAAGCTTAATTAATTAGTATCACTAATCCATCGCAGATTTTTTGGTATGGAATTATTAGGGCAGGTCACGAATGGATCGGGGAGAAATTAACCTTTTCTATCACCCGGTTGGGTTTATGACCTTACCTTGAATTCTGATAGTACACTCGGCATGTGTTTTTTTTTTGTCTCTTTTACTGACTTATTCTTAATTTGCAGTCAACCATGTATTGGTATGTTGATCGCCTCCCATTGGAAGGAAAAAGATAGTCATATAGTACGATAGATTTCGTAAAAAATATTCCCCCATTCCCTAAATGTTTGACGCCGTTGACTTTTTTTAACATGTTTGACCATTCGTCTTATTCAAAAACTTTTGTGAAATATGTAAAAATATATGTATACATAAAAGTATATTTAACAATGAATCAAATGATAGGAAAATAATTAATAATTGCTTAAATTTTTTGAATAAGACGAACGGTCCAACGTGTTTAAAAAAGTCAACGGCGTCTCACATTTAGGGAAGGAGGGAGTATATGAGATAGTGATGGCGAGACAGCAGCTTAAGCACTGAGAGGCCGGTGACCAGGTGAGGAGAATTAATGAAGACGAAAAGCCATCGAAACAAAGAAGAAAAAAACACGAGGAAATAAGAAGCTGGAATTAATGGATCAGCAAATCGCGAGAAGAAGAGAGAAATTGACCCCCACGATCAGCTATACGCTTCGTGGGGAAGACTTCTATCCATCGTATGAAACTGGGAATCCAGGGAGAAGAATTAATCTCATTTTCTTTGGCTCGTAGCTCACAACAGATCCAGCCAAGAGATCGATTACTCATCGATCATTTTCCTGGAAGTATTTATACATACATTTCAAAAACGAGCGGCCAAGATCGATAAATACTCTTAATTGGTATATATCCAGTGACAGTATTTGAATGCATATGGAGTATTAGCATATTAGATATAAGTTGTGGCTAATGAAAGCTACATTGTGGCAAAAAAACAAGGCTTCAATTGTTTGTTCCATTGAGTTTGACTTGGCTGCTAGGCTTAACGTATTAGCAGCACGTAAAAACGAGATAAATTATCTGTGTATAATTAGTAAATAAACTTAAAATGGATTTATTTGATTTTTAAAGAAACATTATGTACAGAAATTTTTACAAAAAACATAACATTAATTTAGCAGTGTAAAAAACATGCTAATGAAAAATGAGAAAGTTATCACAGCCAAAAATCACTTCCGAACGGCGGGTGGCGTATTAAGCTCAAACAGTCAGTTCTAGGATTGAAATCTGGAGAAGAGACAGCGCTCATAGTACTTCTCGGAGATGCTTTACTTTATCCTTTTCTAAGGCTGTGTTTAGATTCAAAGTTTGGATCCAAACTTCAGTCTTTTTCCATCATATTAACCTGTTATACACACACAACTTTTCAGTCATATCATCTCTAATTTCAACCAAAATTTAAACTTTGCGCTGAACTAAACACAACCTAATTGGATTGCATGACAAACATGTCATTGTCCATGACTCCATGCTGATTGGTCAGATGAAGATATCCCCTATATATGGTCAGATTAAGGGGGTGTTTAGATGGGACTAAAACTTTTTAGCCCATGTCACATCGGATGTTTGGACGCTAATTTAGAGTATTAAACATAGACTAATAAAAAAACTAATTTCATAAATGAGAGCTAATCCGCGAGACGATTTTTTTAAGCCTAATTAATCCATAATTATCAAAAGTTTACTGTAGCATCACATTGTCAAAATCATGGCGTAATTAGACTCAAAAGATTCGTCTTGCGAATTAGTCCAAGCTTATGGAATGGGTTTTGTAATTAGTATATGTTTAATACTCTAAATTAGTGTCCAAACATCCGATGTGACAGGGACTTGGAATAAGTCCCTGAAAACCAAACAGCCCCTAAACTACTCCTAATTGCTCCCTCCCCAACCATAAATGCAAATGATCGTAGGCTCTTTTAGAAATATTAAGATTAGTGTGAAAAAACTAGAGTAAATTTCATCTTGAACCACCTATATTGACCAATGTGGCATAATGGGCTAGGGCTAAGTTTCTCTTTTCACTTAACACCACCTAATTTTACAATCTTTTCCAGGTTGGACCAGGTTTACGGCATGGGCTGCGTTTCGACCTAATCCACGCGAGCAGCTGGTGTTCGCTCATGGTGGCAGTGGTGCGCGATACCAGGAGCGCGCGCGACGCGTTGGTGTGGTCATCGGCGAGGGCGAGCATGTTGTCGTCCAGTGGACGCGGACCCTGTGGTGATCACGCTCGGCCCTGTCGCGCTCAAAACAATACTACGGCACATCTGATTACGTTGACAAGATCTGAGACCATACTAGAACTATCCCATTCAGATCATGCATGTGAAATAAAAAAAAGACCAACTATTCCATTTAGCAGTAATCAAGATCCGATCTTCTCTTTAATTTTCTTGTGAAAATTCGACATGTTTCTGGTTACCAACCGAGGAACACAGATTAATTACTCTAGTTTTTTCGAAGAGCAGAAGAGGAATATTGATTATCCCCACAAAACCCAAATCTCATAGGAATTACTGAATGCGTTGCTTTGTTTCACTCTCCCAAGTCCCAGGGTCAAAACTTTCCTCCATGGATTACTCCATGATCAAATCGCGGATGCATATACCTGTCTACCTCATAAACCCAACAAGCATCCTAGCAACGAGGCAGCTGACGACCCCAGTGATTCCATCCTCGGGAAGCAGCTTCCCGATCGAGGTGGCATGGGCGTCCACCAGGCAGAGGCCCTTTGGCCTGACGCTGGCGACACGGCCGGATGACGAGACTTGCTCCACCTTGGCGCCGGTGGACGGTGGACCTAGACGGTGGTGTTTGTGTGTCGATTGTTGAGTTCACGCCGCTGCACAACAGCCGTGTGTGAACAGAGACTTTTTTGTGTTGGGAGGGAAGTACTCGTACTAGAGAGGGAGGCAGAACCGCCGTCGAGGGAGCCCTCGCTGGAGCCCGGAGACGAGGACTGCCGACCGCTGGTAAACGCACCTACTTGCGTGGGCTGAAGCCCAGCCTAGTGGCCCAATCAGTAAACCTGGTCCAACTTGCAAAGGATGGTAAAAATAGGTGGTGTAAAGTGAAAAAAGTGACCCACCCCTAGCCCAATGTGCAACTTAGGTCAATATAAGTGGCCTAAAGTGAAATTTACTTATAAAAAAAACTATGATGATCCTCAAAAAATAAGATAATAGTTGAAGGGTGAGAGGATAGTTTGGAAACTGGGAATACGACTGAACGAAAATTAAGTGAAGGGTGATTAGATCGAACAAGTAATACTTAAAATCTCTTATATTTACGTATAAGATTGAACACAAAATCCCTATATATGTGGACCGAGGGATTAAGAACTACTTTGGTCAGAGAGATTAAAATAGCTACCTAATCTTATTCTCCTTCCACCTTGGTACTTCATTTCTTTTTAATTAGGTTAACATCATGTCACCTATCACCTGATCATCAGTTTTTTAAGAGAGATCACCGCATACAGCCGACTTCTCTAACAGTGAAAGCAAAATACTGTCTTTATCCTTTTGTTTTTTGCTGCAGGATTCCAATCCTTCCTTCATGAATTTATTGCTTTGTGTTCATAGAAAGTTAAAAACATAATTCTGATACATTTGAAAATCGATTTTCTACCATCCATCTTATCGGAAAGAAGATATATAGCAATTCTAAATGAAGAGGAAGCTACACTAGAGATATACAAGTGGACAATCTCGTTATATACCTATATAAAAGCTCGTTTACTAATTCACTGTCTATGTGAGAGTACACTTTCTTTCTTAAAAAAAAAATCTTTTAAGTGCGATAAGCAAGTAAGAAAACGTGCTTGCTCGTTCCACTTGCATCCTAATTTTGGGACAGGCGGCACCACCACGTGTCACTTGGCAGCCGCCGGGACACTTGTCGAGCTGCAATTCAACGGGGCCACCTGTCCGGCTGTCCCCCCTACTATTTCTTAGCCCCCAAATCCTAAGTCCCCAGCTCACCACGGCTAACCACCACGCAAAACAAACTGCTTTCCTGCTGCTCTGCTCGATCGTGCCCCGGAAGATGGCGGCGAAGTCCGGCGAGTTCGTGGCCGTGCCCGTCGCGGCGCATCCCCATGATAGCGCCTCCGAGCCGGAGCCCGTCACCGATGGCCTCATCCCGGGCAAGGACCGCGCCGCCGCCGGGGCGCGCGTCCTAGAGCGCGATCACCGCGCGCCGTTCGCCGACCGCGACGCGCGGCCACGCCTAACCGTGGCCGACACCGACGGCGCCGACGTCTTCGCGCGCGAGCGCGGCGTGTCCTCCCGCGAGGCCCTCCTCAGCAAGAACGGTCCGGCCGGTCTGGCCGTGTCCGACCTCTTCTTCAAGCGCGAGACCGGTGCGCCGCTAGTGGACATGGCCCGTGCCGGCGGGCTGACCGTGGGTGGCACCAACGCCAACGACGTCTTCGCGCTCGAGCGCGGCGTGTCCGAGTCCGACCTCCTCCCGCGTGAGACCGGCGAGCCTCTCCTCCTCCTCCTCCTCCTCCTCGACAAGCACCGCGACGTGTTCGCGCGTGAACGCGGCATGTCATTCGGCGACGCCCTCCTGGGAAACAATCACCCCGCTGGGCTGCGCGAGATCGACACACCTCTCCTGGACGAGAAATTCTTCTCCGACGACTACTCCTTCGCGCGCAAGACAGCCGCGCCGCCCTTCGCCGGGCTTGTCGCGGCCGACGAGCACGGCGCGCGCACCGACAAGGCTCTCCGCCCGGCGCCTTCCGCCCCGCACTCGGAGCAGGTAGACTAGCGAGCCAAATTCGATGGCCACCATTTCTTACTCTCGAGCTGCTTCTCTTCTACAAAGAATCAATCCATCAATTGTTCAAATTTTGCAGGTTGCCATTGATGTTCTTGTCGGTGCCAAGGAGGTGCCGGTAGCGGCCGGTGCAGATTCCGGCGGCGGCCATGGCGGCAACCTGTCAACTGTGGTGGGGATTTTCGCTGCTTCAACCGCCGTCACCATGGTCGCCGCCGGCCCCGTCAGCCCGCCGGTGGCGTTTGGTGCCTTTCTCCTGCTGCTTGGTGGCCTCTTAGTTTCTGTCTCCCGTGTTCTTGAGAATCAGCTGGTTGATGATATCTGACGAAAATTGGGGAATAATTTTGTAGGATTCGGATCCTTTACAGATGAATTTGGACCGAATTCATAGCATGACATGGTGCTTCATTAACAATTACAGTGATGCGACATGTCAAACTATGGGTCAGATCCAACGCCACTTGTACAAGATCTTGTCCTATATATGTTAATGAAGCAATAATATCAGATGCTATCTCAGATTATCAGTTCCTTCATCTGCGGTTTAGCAATAATGGATGTTGGTGTGATCGATCAATTGGTGCTACACGAAATGTTTTTCATCTGATGTTTCCGAAATGTTTTTCATCTTATGTTTCAGAATGTAGTGTTGAGGTGAATTTACAAGTCCATGCTGAATTTTGCTGTTAATTTATGAGGAACTGAATTGTATCTTATACGATCTTGTCGAAAATAAATTTGTGTGTACCAAAGCATAGTACTCCATCTTGATAGGCTGATAGTATCAATAGGATGAACACAACACGTTTCAATTCTTGAGGTTTTGTCTGCTCTGCCGTGGAAGTCCAAAAGAAAAGAGGCAGAAGAACATTTCAGACATTTTCTAGTACTGCAAGTTGGCAAGAGGCTAATGCGTGTGCCCTTATCCGATTTGAGCTCTTCAAGTCAATTTTAAGAAGAATAGAAAAGGACGTTTTGTCCTCAGTCTCATAGCTAGTTAATTAGTTGAGTCGTCAAAAGCTTTCGTTGTGTTCACGTGTAACAAAAAAAGCTTTCGTTTCGTTGTGAAATGGGTCTTGCGCCAAAATTTCTCGAATTCTCAAATGAATACCCGAAATAAACTTAGCTTGGCATCCATCTTGCAGTGTTAACAGAGATTAATTTTGCCGATTAGATGAGGCTTAGCCGAATCTTGATAATCCTAATTTAACCTTTAATCCAGTACAATTCAGCATACATTCTACACGCAATGCAATCTGCAATAGTCCAACCAAATGAAAGTTTAGTTCCTTAATTTCAGTAGTATCAAATCATTTTTGTTGCTGATTGAAAATTTGTCGAGCGGCAGACGGACGCATCAGCTACAATTTCCACGAAAAAGACTAGTGTTCTTTTCATGGGAAAAACAAGGGAGATGATGGATGGTGTTTTCTTCAGGTTATAGTGCCAACAAGTAGGCGAGGTTCAGATTGTGCGGATGAAAAGATAGACCATGACCATGACACAGGCTGATTAAAACGACGTTGTGGTGCTAGTATTATATTCGCATGCTCCGTGATGTACATTTGGGATTAAAAAAAAATACTCTCTCCGTTTCTAAATATTTGACACTGTTGATTTTTTAGCACATGTTTGACCGCTCGTCTTATTCAAAAACTTTTGTGAAATATGTAAAACTATACGTATACATATAAGTATATTTAACCATGAATCAAATGATAGGAAAAGAATTAATTATTACTTAAATTTTTTTAATAAGACGAATGGTCAAATATATTTAAAAAAGTCAACGGCGTTAAATATTTAGAAACGGAGAGAGAGTACGAATTAGCTCCTTGGAACCGACTCAGCGGTTGGGAGAACATACTGCTGTTTTTGCTGCAATTGTTCAGATTACAATTGAATTCAGCTGAAGCGTGTCGTCAAAGGGACCGGCTGGTGCCGTCCGATCGCCCGAAACAACGCGTAGGGTTCGTGAAATCTGATGAAATTTAATTTTATCAGTAAAGAAAATCTCTATTGCTGCTCTAAACAAATTAATATCGTTTTGTGGCCTCATTAATTAAAAATGTATAGAGAGACTTACGCCGTGTTTAGTTCCAAAGTTATTCTTTAAATTTTTAACTTTTTCATCACTTCAAAACTTTCCTACACATACAAACTTTCAACTTTTCCATCACATCGTTTCAATTTCAACCAAATTTTTAATTTTGGCGTGAACTAAACACAGCCTTAACAGTTCAGAACTTAAGATCAAACCACCAATTGCAGGGGGGTCGACATCTATATAACTAGTTGACGATGATGTATATGTTATTTAGATAATACAATTTCGTTTTGAGAGATCCAGCTTTTACTGGCTTATATTGAAGTATAAGATTAGTCTACCACAAAATTCACAAGCTATATAGGAAAAGAACAAAGGTAAAAGGAAGGGAAAATGTCATTTTGATCTGGACTGCCAGCAGTTAGAGAAGAGATAAGTACTTACTAAACAAAGAGATGATTAGATGATTAGTTTATCCAACGTAATATGCCATGAAGACAGACATGTGACTGTCCACGTCGATTGGTCCAAATAAACTTTCTATTTCGGTCATCCCAACACTTTCCTTTTCTTTTTCTTTTTTTTTTAAAGAAAGAGGGAAAGCATTTGTGTGCAGTATCGCGCCGCAGTATTATCTGGAGATATCATAACAGGGAGGCAAATAAACAACATTTGTCCAACTTTGTTTTCTTTTAACAAGAAAAGAGAGGATTGGATCAAATGATGATTTAGTTTTACAAGAAGAGCACAGATTTTATTTTCATTTTCTTTTGAACGTCAAGAGGACCCCAAGTTATTTAAGAGAGTAAGGGTGTGTTTAGTTTACGCCAAAATTGGAAGTTTGGTTGAAATTGGAACGATGTCATGGAAAAGTTGGAAGTTTGTGTGAGTAGGGGTGTGTTTAGTTCATGCCAAAATTAGAAGTTTGGTTGAAATTAGAACGATGTGATGAAAAAGTTAAAAGTTTGTGTGTGTAAGAAAGTTTTGATGTGATGGAAAAGTTGAAAGTTTGAAGAAAAAGTTAGAAACTAAACCGGGCCTAAGCATTGCGGTCTAGTTCAACAAGATTTGACGTGACATTTTCTTAATTCTCGGGAAATTAAAATTAAAAGAAAATGAAAGGAGATAGAGGGGCTGCAAGGACGTGATTGAACTTTTTATATATAGTCCAGATGCACAGTTAAGGAATTCAACGGTATCATAAACCCAAATGCATATATACAAGCTGCATAGATCCATGAAGATGAACGCATGGCGAATTGGCAAAATGCCAAGTCTAGTCTCTAGTACCCTTCAAGGTATGCTGGCTCCAAGGGCATTAAAAATCAGGGAGCGATTAATTAGTATACTTGATCGACGATAAGATTCATACAAGTGCTGAATTATCAATGATCGACGATTAATTAGTGCTAGCTAGCTGGAGTGGCTTATAATCCACCCTTTCTACCACCTGCAATTTCGAAAGGGATTGTTGATATACTCGTAATTTGGAGCAGGCGGTCAAATCCGTTATCTTTCGCTTTTGATCGTGATAGCTCTACGAAGATATGCGATTTGAGAAAATCCAGAAGTGATTGCCCATCGAACTATATACTGTATATTGCTGCTACTAATTTTTGTCTGAGAGAACATGGCACTACAATTATATATTGTTACACCGAGGAGTACTTGTATGGAACAAATAATGCTTTCTCCTATTTTGACTGAGCACGAGAGAAATTGTCTATACATCTCTCCCCCACTTTCTGTTCATTTGAAATTCCTGTTGTTGATAACTCGAGAAAAGAGAGACACTCCTGTATAGTTCTACAATTGAATAATAACATCAGAAGTAGCATTATTGTAAGCTGCAGCCGAACAAAGCTGAAACAAAGCACCCTATTTTGGATATAAAGATTATGATAGTACTAGTGTTGATGGGATTCTGCAAGTGACCCTTGGCTAAAAATTCAAAGGCTGTTCTTGTCAGAAATTCGGAATCATACGAAGATGATTGATAATAAACTGTCTCATTCCGAAAGTTGCAATGTGTCAAAAGTGGTAGGGATCGCTGTCCCCGTTTATATTATAAAGCGATGCGATGCCATGGCTAACCTCGCAAAGCATCGCGAGCTCGAGCGCTATCTAGCTGCAGCTTGCAGGTGTTCGTCCGGTCTCGTTCCAGTCCCCCCGGTCTCGGAGACGCCACCAAGCCCGATCAAGAGCCAAATTAATGGCGCAATCAAAGATGGCGGATGCCGTCCTGGCCGACGGCCGCGCCACCGGCTACACGCGGGAGCTCGCCGCGCCATCCGCTGATTGGTTTCTGCGCATGAGCCACGCCGGCGGCGGCCTTGGCGGGGGGAACGACTTCACCGGCAACGCCGTCGCGCTCTACTCCAGCGTCGGCGACTACGCGGGCGACCAACGCACGGTGCTCGTGGACATGGACCGCGTCGGCGAGCTTGTCCATGGCGAGGCCCGCAACACCGGCGCGCCTTACACCGGGGCAGGAGGCTTCGCGCGCGGCCACGTCGCGCTGCTCGTGGACCAGGACCGCGCCGGCGGGCTTCCCCTTGGTGGCGTGGCCGACTTCCTCGAGCGCGACACGGCCGAGCACTTCGCCGGGTTGGGCGCGCTCTACTCCAGCAACGGCGGTGGCGTCGCGCGCGCGCACGGACACGGTGCGCCAGCGCCACTCCTGGACAAGGACCGCGCCGGCGAGCTTCCCCTTGGCGGCGTGGCCGACTTCGTCGAGCGCGACATGGCCGCGCCCCACACCGTCGCCGGTGGCGTGCCCTTCGACAAGGCGCAGAGCGTGGGCACCGCGGCCGGAGCGGCGCCTTCCTCCCCGAACGCGGCGCAGGTAAACCACCCAAAATTCAGCTTCTTGAACATCTTTTCGTTTTGTTTTTTTAACTAATGTTCTTGTGGTCAACACGTTTCAATTATTCTCAATCCCCGCAGGTTACAATTGATGTGGATTTCGTTGCTGAGGCGATAGAGGCGAAGAGAGCAGTCGGCGGCCGTGGCAGCAACCTTGCTTCAGCCGTGGTGGGGATTGTCACCGCCTCATCTGCCGTCACCATGGTCGCCGCCGGCGATGTCAGCCCGCCGGTGGCATTCGGGCTCTTCGTCCTCATGATCGCCGGACTCTCGCTGGCGGTCTCCGGCGTTCGCCGTGTGTGAAGTCGAAGGGATATATCGTCAATAGGCTATGGAGCATGTGTGAGTGTGTGGGGTCAACTCCCTCTTGTCTGTGGCTAATCGATTAAATAATCTGGGAGGAAATGGTAGGTTTCAACATGGTGAATGGTGATCGATGGATGTTTTAAAGGTTTCGTGTGGGATGATTTTTAACATGCTCATGGCGAATTTTGCTGAAAGTTCAAATTCTCAGGATTTCTCTCTTTCATGATATATGTACGCTCCAGAATTTCTCTCTTTCATGATCCTACTAGAATTGTATTGCGTTCTGATAAAATCTCCTCGAAAAGGATTTCTTCGTACGAAAGCATATAACAGGAATAAATATAGAACACACACGCCATATTTTTCAACATTTGCGGTTTGGTCTGCCTACAGAGGAAAAATCCAATAAAGAGACAGAAGCACATTCCAGCTGTTCTGTGATAGAAATGGGCAAGTGGCTATCCCATTCGTCCTGTTCAGATTGAGATGTCGAGAGCTTAAAGGCGGTTTTTTTTTTTTGAGTTCTGAGATGATTACCAGAAACAAACTTAATTAAGGCTGTATTTAGTTCACATAAAAATTAAAAGTTTAGTTGAAATTGAAAAAATGTGACGGAATAGTTAAAAGTTTGCATGTGTTCAAAAGTTTTGATGTGATATAAAAGTTGGAGGTTTAAAGAATAACTTTGGTATTAAACACGGCGTAACCTTGGTGTTCATCTTGTCCTATTAATAGATACTAATTTCACCGATTACACGATGTTTTTGTGATGCTTAGCGGAAGCTTAATAAGCCTAATTTCGACTTTAGTCCAATCCGTAGTACTATTGTGGTAAACCTGGTGTCGTCACGATAAGGTCAGCTTGCTTAGCTAGAGGCTAGATAGAGCTCACTGTCACTGCTGACTTCACGAAAGGGTATTGAGCCAATTGTGTGATTGAACGTCTCGTTCATCCTTCTCAGGCAGACGCAACAAAGTACCGCTGCCACGAAACAGAGATATCGATAATGTAGGATGTGGTTAGGATAAAGGGGTAAAATTTTCTGCCGTGTCACATCGAATATACGGACACACATTTCAATTTCAAGTATTAAATGTAGTCTATAATAAAATAAATTACAGATTCCGCCTGTAAACTGCGAGACGAATTTATTAAGTCTAATTAATTCATCATTAGCAGATATTTACTGTAGCATCACATTGTCAAATCATGGAGCAATTAGGCTTAAAAGATTAGCCTCGCAATTCAGCAATCTATGTAATTAATTTTTTTTATATATTTAATACATCATGCGTGTGTCCAAATATTCGATGTGACAAGGTGAAAAAACTTGCCAGGGAATCTAATCAGGCCCGTATAGCATAATAACTAATAATGTGAGTTTCAGATTTTAGAACGGAACCTTCAAGTTTGAAACCTGAAGAACTTGCTAAGCTGGTGGTAATTCCATGCCGGGTTTGTTTCACCGATTAGATTATGTTTGACAATGTGCTTAGCGCAAGCTTAGTGAGCCTAATTCTGCAGTATTATATTAATCATGGCCTCGCCATTGTCATACGTAATACAACTACAGTCAGGTCTTGCTTAATTAGGTGTTGTCACTGTCGACAAACTCCTCAGATGTACTATTCTATTTGTGGATCCTGACACGCAGATCTATTTGATGAATATGTTTCCTAATTGTTCTCCAAGATAAGTTAATTAGCAATATGGTGAAGAAAAGTTTTGGCACAGCAAACCAGGACACAGTTTCACAAATGGATTTATCAGCCATGTACTCTTAAGTTGATTTTATGCACTTTCAAGATTGTGGATGGGGCCATCACACAGATTCTTGGAATTTTAACTTTTATTAAGAGTTTCAGAACTGAACTGGCTCATGTGATGTGAGTTTTGGATTTTCTAAACTGAATCCTCATGTTTTAGACCTGATCGTTCCGAAAACACTTTCAGTATAGGTGACTTGGCCGATGTGTCTTTGGAGATGAAAATAAGATAATGGATGGATCTTTCAACTAGTGTTTCCATGCTTCACCCTTCCGTTTCCAAAGCAGAGTTTAAAAAAAGAAGCGAATATTAGCCCACCACCTTGTGGAGCTAACCAGAGATCTGTGGGCGTTTTCCCAAAGCAGAGTTCTTTTCCCTTAATTTCAGAATGATGGATGTCTTGGTGTTATTTGCTTAGGTGTTGTTTGGATCATCGGATGTTTGACACTAATTTAGAGTATTAAAAATATACTACTTATAAAACTAATTACATAAATAAGAGCTAATTCATGAGACAAATTTTCTAAGCCTAATTAATTCATAATTAGAGAATGTTTACTGTAGTATCACATAGGCTAATCATGAATTAATTAGGCTCAATAGATTAGTCTCGTGAATTAGTCAAGGATTATGGAATGAGTTTTATCACTAATCTACGTTTAATACTTCTAATTAGTGTCAAACATCCGATATGATAGGGACTAAAAAATTTAATTTTAGTTCCATCCAAACAACTTTTTTTTTTTAAGAATCAAACAGAGTATGATCAAATCTGTATGGAGTGAGTACTAAAATACTATTCATTGCAGTCTCGTCTAGTCGCTCAGATTTCTTTCCTTATTTCTTTTCCTGCAACGAATCCGGAATTCACCATCACCATGAAGGGGTGGTACACACTTACCAAAATAAGCACAGTTTTAGCATTGTTCATGTTCAACATTTAACCGTTCATCTTATTTAAAAAAGATTATGATTAGTATTTTTATTGTTATTAGATGATAAAACATGAATAGTACTTTATGTGTGACTAATTTTTTTAAAAAAATTATAAATTTTTTAAATAAGATAGATGGTCAAAGCGCTGTACACGAATATCTATGGCTGCACTTATTTTGGGACAGTACTCCTTATTTCACCTCGCCTGACTGCTCCATCCAACACACAGGTTGCACCGATTTCGATAGAAATTCTGCGAATTTTGTTTGAATTTTTCGTCATTCTGAACAGGGCACTGACTGGGCCAAGCACTTGATTGGATGAGGCCTCAGGGCAGCTGGGTAAAGGCGGCTGGCTTCACCGTCGTCCTCTTCGCGGTCGGCGTCGGCATCAGCCTCGGTCGGGGTCGGATCGGGCCCCACCCCCTCCCACCGTCGACGTCTTGGCGGTCAGCGTCGGCATCAGCCTCGGTCGAGTTCGGGCTCACCCCCCCTCCCCCTTGGCGCACACGTAAGCCCTCGGTCGAGTTCGGCATTACAGTAGCTTTTTTAGCAGAACATTTCGACAAACCCCCGGCGCTTGCAGTTGCAGGTTGCGTCCCGCGGCTTCCTAGCGCACCCTGTATATACAAGGGACACCGGCCTCTGCCTCACCCCAACCACCACACCAATCTCCTCCCATTTGAATCCTATCTAACAAATCGCATCGCCCAATCGGATCGGATGGCTTCCGCTGCCAACGTGAAGCTTGAGGATCTCGGCGCCGCCGTCGACGAGCTCGACCAGATCAGGCAAGTGCTTCTCCTCCTCTCCCCTTCAATTGGTTCTAGTCTAGCCTCGTACGTGACCATTATTTCATCCCCATTTCCTTGTTCTGATTTCCACCGTGGAGTTTCTCCCGTACAGCAAGATTTTGATGTTAATGGTGGTGGTGTTTGCAGCAGCGGATCTAGAGCTCATCACCTCGTGGAGCACACTTCAAGCTCGAGCGTTCCAAGCTCGGTCATGGACGTTCAATCACTGCTTCCCCAAGCCATGACCATGAGTATCTCCACGCCTGAGCTGCTCTTGCCCCTCGGCGAGGGGACTCTGGACGACGTCGACGACCTCCTCACGCGCGAGCTGCGCGTGCCGTTCTTGGCTCTGGGCGCCGCCGCCGCGCCCTACTCCGGCAACGGCAGCGACGGCGGCTTCGCGCGCGAGCACGGCATGGATGCTGAGCAGGTAATTAAACCACCAAACTCTGTTCAGCTCCGCCCTTTTGTTTCAGTGTTAGTGCTAATTTTCGCTCACTGCCCAGTGGACCCGAACAGTTATTTTTTGTTTATTTTTCGCGGGGACCATCTCCTTTTCTTCAACTGCTTGTGTTTATTTACTACTCGTACGAATCGTCTTCTTTTTTCTCTCTCTCTCTCTCTTTTTTTTTGCGAGAAGTTCTACACGTTTCAATTACGCTATCGACCCTGCAGGTTAAGATTGATATTCCCAGTGGAGCGGCAAACGCAGCCGCGGACGCAGATGCTCGCGGCGGCAACCTTGCTTCGGCCGTAATCGGGATCGCCGCTGCCTCATTTGCGGTAACTATGCTCGCCGCCGGCGCCATCAGTCCGCCGCTGACATTTGGTCTCTTTGTGCTTCTGCTCGGCGGCCTCTCTCTTGCTGTCTCCGGTGTTCGTCGTTCGTAAGGGGATTGGTCAAATTCCTCTTTGTATCTTTCTTTCTTTCTTTCTTTCTTTATTTCCATGGCATTTTTCATATTGAATAATGGGGGAAGGAAATGGTACGAGTCAATGTGGTGAACTTGGTTGACATGGGATGATTTAACATGCTCCTGCCTAATTTTGGCCCCGTTTAGTTCCCCAAATTTTTTTTCCAAAAACATCACATCGAATCTTTGAACATATGCATGAAGTATTAAATATAGATAAATAAAAAAACTAATTGCACAATTAGGCAGGAAATCACGAGACGAATCTTTTAAGCCTAATTAGTCCATGATTAGCCATAAGTGCTACAGTAACCCACATGTGCTAATGACGGATTAATTAGGCTCAAAAGATTCGTCTCGCGGTTTCCAGACGAGTTATGAAATTAGTTTTTTTATTCGTGTCCAAAAATTCTTTCCAATATCCGGTCAAACATCCGATGTGACATCCAAAATTTTTTTTTCGCGAACTAAACAGGCCCTTTGTTGCCAGGTTCAAACTCTCTCGGCTCATTATAAAAAAACGTGAATATTAGGGAAGGACCTAATATCAAATACTCCCTCCATTCCATAATATAAGGCACAACCATTTTTTTAGATGTTTCATAATATAAGGCATGCATGCATGTAGTCAATTAACTATGGCCCCTTCTCTATTAAATTATTACATTTTTAAATTCTCCACTCTCATGTTCTCTAATTCTATTGGATGCATGTATTGTATCATGAAGACTAGTTTCTTAATTCAATAATGAACGGAGTTGATTGAAGGCTCGTCCGGCTCGTCTTCATCATCTTGAGTGGCTCCCCACTCAATCTTGGAATAGGTGCGCTTGGATTCTTCTACTTCATCATCACTTATGTTGACGACCGGAGGATCCGCTAGGGCTGGGGTAACTTCTTTTTCCACCACACGGACCTTTGGCGCCAATTGGTAGCGAGGGACAAATAGAGCTCTCTTCCTTGCGGTAAGACGAATCCTGGCCTTCTGCGGTGGTGCTTCTCCCTTCAATGCGGCTAGTTCCTTCTCCAAACGATCCACTTTGTCCTCTAACTTGCAAATCTTGCCACGATTCCGGTCTTCACGATCTTGAGCTGCTAACACAGTCTCCGCACGGGTTTCATCCATAGCCCACAGCATCTCAACCAAATGCCTCGTGGTAGCATCATTCTCAATTCCCTCAGTCTCAAGGTAGCTGCCACGGTCACTTCCCTGTGGTTGGCGAGGATGGTAGCGATACTCAGTGTCGGCCAACTGATCACTGTAGCGATCGCGGAGCTCTCCTATGGCGATCCTTGCCACCTCCTGACATGCATGGATGTAGTTTCTTCCTCCAGCTTCGAACATCACTGAGGGGATATCTTCACTATTACTGTTCAAGGTGACTTTGACTCGGCACTTCTCTTCGTGACGATCATGAGGAATCTGGGCATAAAAAGGGGCAGTCCCAAATCCTATGGCAAAGGACATCGTACGCATCTCCTAGACAAATCCCTCAACACCAAACAAGTACTCAGGCTTGTAACGCGACATCTAAAGACAAGTGAAAGGAGGGAGTTAAGACATTTATCCAATTAATAGCACAAGTTTTTGGATTAATTTGAATAAAGTTAGAAAATCAAAGTAAAAGGTAAGTAAATAAAGTAAACCAAGCTTGCAAGATAAGTTGAAACAGTTGGAAATAAGGTCACAAATTTTGTACTTTTGAACAACAGGTTCCAAAGAAATAAAACAAAGTTATAAAATCAACATGCTAAATTTATTTAATTGCAGCAAGATTAAATAAAACAATATTGTAAAACTTTTGCTGGTAAATGAGCCATTAGTACAGTAATAGATGTACATTACTAATAACACTGGAATAAATTTTGAATGAGAACCACTAAAAGAGATTATGAAGTGCATGTGCTATTAGTTTGGTTTAATTAAAAGAGAAGGGGAGGAGAACAGTTCTATTTTTCCAATATTTTTAGAGGGCTTCTATGGGTAACCATTTGGCATAACCTAGGGTCAAGGAGGCTCTGATACCAACTTGTCACGCCCGGAATTTCTATCCAAAATTCCAAACGCTTACATGTGTGTGAACCCTCGTCCAGGAATCAGCCGAGGCACACAATAACAAATTGATAATAGAGTACAATTATTACTCTAATTAATAAGCGAATAAAATGTCATTACAGAGGTAGATAGTTCCTCTCAATCAATAAAGATCTAAGCAGCGGAAAGAAAAGATAAACGGCGCAGACGGCTCCACTCCACAGGCAGCTTGACCAGGGCTACACCTAATCCTCCACACCATCAGCATCACTGTAGAACTCTTCCTCTGATGAATGATTGCAAGGTGAGTATATGACATACTCAGCAAGCCACGCAGCAAATATGCAAGTGCACAGGATAACAAAGGATGGCATAGTAGGGTTTCATTTGCATAAACAGCATTTAATAAACATTTCGGAATTTAATAAAACAGTTAAGTAATAATTAAACAATATTAATCCAATGCTATACAGCATACCCTGTTGTATAGGTCCAACCATTCTGAACAACCATACACGGCTGTACAGATCTATCTCCAAACCAGGAATATACCATTCCAAACCAGGAGCTAAACAAATTATTACTAGTTATAGCATCTTTTATTATGATGAGAGGTGTGAAACTAATCACGAAAGACATTGTTAGACCCGCCCGTAACCGCGGGCACGGCTATTCGAATAGTTTTACTCTGGCCAGAGGTGTACCACTGTACCCACAAGACACAGCCCCACAATATGTCACCATGTGCCTCAATACCACCACGGTACCTCGGAAAGGAGCTGTGACAATACCCCTCGCACAACACAATCCACCACAGGGCACCTTTCCTAGATCATAATCACCCCCTTATAAACAAGGCATGGACTCCCCAGCGACCCCCGTGGGCTTATCTCCGCCACTTCTCAGTCTGGTGCTCCGCAATGAACCATGCTATACAAAAGGTAAAGCCGTTGCCCACGCTGGCTTGTGGTTGGCACGGTTAATGTTTCACAACCGAAACTCGTGAACCGGTCCTTAATTGCCATGAGCACGACTCTCAAAACCATGTGCTCACAACCCACCATTATCAAGTTTTAGTTGGCAAGTAATTAATTAACCAATCACGATTGACCATCGTGAGCTATCATTAAGCCATCATTAAATAATAATGAGTCATAAGTTATCCCAATAGTGTGCTAATGTTTCTAAGCATGGCTAAGCAATCATATCTAATATCTAGCTGAACCAATATATATATAGCCCAACTAGTCAAGTTATAATAACCCAAGGTATCAAGGAATAAAGTAATCAAGAACAAAAAGGGCTATAACAAACAATAGGTTAATTCCACCCAATGACATTCGAAAATAAATGCATGTTGATCCTATTTAAAGCTTTAAACGGGATCAACATGCTCAAAGGGTTGTTTGGGATCTGTGTGACTTGCCTTGCTGGCCTTGGAACTCTTCAAATTCTTCTCCTGCGAAAACGGACTCTCCGGAAACGTCGGAATCTAAACAAAAAGGAGCAAAATCACCAAACAGCACATAAACAAGCATGAACAGTACATGTGGATATTTTTAACATGTAGATCTCAATTTTAGAAAAATGTAGTGACTTGAACCAACTAAATCCGAGCTAAGATGAATTAGTTATGAATTTTTAAAGATTAAATCGGATTAAAACACTTATATGGATTTTAATTGAATTATGACGCAATAATGAATTATTTTTGAAAAGGAAAAAGGAATTATTGCGTCAGCGGCTAGGGTTTGCGGTGGACCGGGTGCACGGCGGCGGCTCACGGAAACGAACGGCCGAGATCGATCTTATCCAAAACGAACGGCCGAGATCGAACGGTCCACGACCGGGCCACGGCGGACGGCGACGATGACGTCAGCGGTGACGTCACCTCCGGCGGCGGCTCGAGCGCGCAAGCTCGCCGGCGAACGACGGCGCGAGGATGCGAACGGAGGGCACCAGCACGTAGAGAGCGACGCGGCAAACTCACCGATGACCAAAACAGTGGCGAAAGAAGAACGGACGGCGGCGGCGTCGAGGAAAAGGCGGCGGAGACCTTCGGCTTGACGACGACGGCGATGCTCCGGCGGTCAACAGCGACGGCGAAGGAGCGGACGAGGACGGCGACGCGACGGCGACCACGATGGCGACCTCCCCGAGCGACGGCGATGACTGGAACGACGGCTGCACATGGCTGGAGCGGCGGTGACGACGGCGGCGCGAGGCTACACGGTGCTAGGGCGCTACCGACGGCGAGAGGCGAAAGCAAGGGTGGCGGCGGGTAGCGGCGGGCTTGGGGGTCCTTTTATAGGGGTTGGAAGGCGGCGGCGAAGGCCCACGGTGACCGGCGACGCGAAGGAAAGATTAGGGTTCGGAGGAAAGGGTTCGATCCGAATCGAACTCGAATCCACGGATTTCCAAACGAAATTAGCCGACGATTCCAAAAGAGAAAAGGTAGAGGAGATCTCGGGAAACATTTCCCCTCAATCGATTTCACCGGATCGGGAAAGGCGCGGCCGAATTTGGAAGGAGACGGCGGCACGGCTTGGCTAGGGTTCGGGCAGCGGCGGCCGAAGGAAGACGACGAGTCCGACAGGTGGGACCCACCTGTCAGCGACAGCGAGCGCGCGCGTGAGCGGCTCGGCTGCGGACTGGGCCGACTTGGGCCGGGGAGAGAGAGAAGGTTTTGGGCCGACTTTCGGCCCAAAGCCAAAAGAGACTTTTAAAAACCTTTTTCAATTAAATTATTCATGAAATGCAATTCCATTTATTAAAAATACTTCCTTAGCTCAAATAAATCCCAGAAAAATCTAGGAATTAAAGAATTAAGCAAAGTATTTAATGAAATTTTATCTGGCCCCATTTTATATTGGAATTTATTAATTAAAATTAGATCTTCTCTTCTAGACTTTTAAAATAAATTCTAATAATTCCAATTAGACAACAATTTATATATTTAGGATTTTTAGGGTGTGACATTCTATCTTCAGATAGAGAATTCGGATCCTGTCTTTGTTGTTCCTGAGGAACAACCAGACAAGATTTCGTCTTGGACCGCAAAGCCTACCTTGACCCCTGCCCTTCGGTTCTTCGTCGAGGCCATCG